CTAATTGTCAGAAAGTTTCTCCTTAGTTCTAGGTTGCTTCTCTCTTTGGTTAGTTTCCATCCGTTAACTTCTTGTACTGCCTTCAGGTGCTTTAGAAAATAGCTTGACTCCCTCTTCTTTGTAGCAGCCCCTGAGATATTGGAACACTGCTATCATGTCCCCCCTCATCCTTCTCTTCGTTAAACTAGACATACCCAATTCCAGCAACCATTCCTTATATGTTTTAGTTTTTTTAGATAAAAAAAAAATGGCAACTGGCATAAGCTCCACCACCCCTCTGTTCCCACTTCTTGAAAATTTTGGAGAAATCAACAGTGTTCAAACTTTCACCTGGCCTAATACAAAATTTGAAATTTGATAATGATGTTTTAAGCACATGCTATTATTGCCCAGTCACTAATAAATATCTGTGGAGATTCTCAATCATCCAGGTCATGTTTCTTCCAAAGGTGCTTTTTCAAAAGGCAACTGGACTTTCTTTATTTTTCCTTGAAGACATTTCACTTCTCATTCAAGAAGCTTCTTCACCCAGAAGCTGCTTCAGAACTGAAGAAGCTTTTTGGATGAGAAGTGAAATGTCTTCAAGGAAAAACAAAGAAAGTCCAGTTGCCTTTTGAAAAAGCACCTTTGGAGCAGCATTAATATTTTGCATATGATAAAATTATGTGCATAATTTTCTTCCCTCTTGAGAATTAAAATAAAAAATGAGTTGCCATTCATACTATGGCCCAATGTATATAGAATGATTAGGCTTCACAGTGTAAAAGAGAGGATATTTGGGTAGGAATTAATTCTTATTTTTTATGGCATTCACCTTGGCTTTTGTTTTGTCTTTCTTTTTTGGCACTACCATTGGCTATTTCAAGAAAAAGACCTCAAAGACAGTAACTTTTTTTCACTAATGGATAAATACCTGGCCAAGTTAAAATTAAGCATTGATCTTGTCATACCAAGTTCTAAGTGTTATTGATTTCTTAGCCCAGGCTCCAAGTACAACAAAACTCCAACAATTGGGGAAATATAACAATACACCAATTTGGGGTTTGGTAACCAAAAATAGTTCAGATACTGGGATGACAGCATGGAGACTTCATTTTTTTACATTCTTTGGATATAATTGTAATTTAATGACCAATAACCAATATAGCCTGAATATAGTTTGTGGGCAGAATTTTCTCATAATGATCCTGACCATCTTATGATAGGGTTAGCTCACTTATTAATTAAAGACACATGCATAACTGTTCCTATATGCCTTGTTGCCTTTGAAAAGTTTATTAGATACATAGGGTATACACGGAGCACTTGATCTAGATGTTTATAGATGTCATGTAAACATGAAAAGAACTCCACAAGGCATGATGCAATTTCCAAAAGTCCATTTCCCAAGGTCATCCCCAGGAAGAAAAGGCTTTATTCACTTCTCATTCACATTTCTCTTGTGCTTGAAGGAGAAATGTAACCTGAGAGTTAGCTTGGTCTAGTAAAATGGCTGCAATTGCTAAAAAGCATGGACCTTGATGTGAAGAAGCACAAATATAGGAAAATTTGTGCAGCTTGATAAAGCAGAAGTGAAACATCAAGAAAGAGTTGCGAGAACACGGAATCAGGCTGTAGAAATGCTAACGTTTGCTGATACTATCTGCTATAACTAAATAAGTTAAAAGGGATTTTAGGTTGCCAAGGAAGGAATTCTGTTGCTATGGGACATCATTATCTAACCAAATTTGCAAATTACTGTATAGGTTTCTTCCCCACCCTTGCCAAACAAACATAACCTTGTCATCTCCCTCTGCACAGTTACAATAAACTTGGCTCAAAGCAGAGAGTATGATATTCACTCACTAAAGAAGGTAGTGGGTTTATTATTTTCCTCTTCAAGCTCCATCAAGGACATTAACTTCTATGTTGTATTGCTTGAGTGATTAAACTAGAAAGGACTAGAAGACAATATGGATATGTCCATTTGGCATACATTTATGTGCATATTCAGGTTTGGATATTGGGCTTTTCTTCTGCTCTTTGGGAGTGCCGCTATATTCATACACTGTTTTATTGCAGGTAAAGATAGGAAGAATAAGCATCCTATACCTTCTCGCCCACAATTTTAAGCTATCAAAAAACCCTGAACATTTCAAAGTCTGATATTTCAGATAATAGATGAGGAAGAACTTGCACATTTTGTTCTTTATATTACTCAGGATTCCTTTTAATTTAGATTGCATTCTAATTTTACTGCTTTTCTTTTCAGATGCTAGAATGGGAGTGAATCACCTACAGGCAGTGATTCAAGGATACAACCTTTTGATATATAAATCTACTACAAGAACAAGGAAACTGTTAAGAAAAAAAAAATCCAGCAATTGCCATAAGATGCAAACCTTATTTTAATCATAGAAGCAAAAAACAATTTTTGCACCTCTTTCCTATCCACATAGAATAATGGGCTGAAGATTTCATGATGGCAGAAATGGTTGCTACCCTTCTCATCCTATTATAATAAATAGTCTGCTCTCTGGATGTTTGCTTTTGACCTTCTCACACCACACCACATTAACTTCATTTTGTTATTTTCCCTCTTGAGCTTTTATGAAAGAGGTGCCCTTCTTTTCCCTTCCCCTTCCCTCCCTTCTTCTCTCAAGATGTGTAGTCCTAGAAGGATATGTGACTCTCCTCCTGCTTCTATTTGTATCTCTGCACCTCAATAGTCAAGTCTTTGTCCTCTGCACATTGAGGCCAAAATACTCTCCCCCCCCCCACAAATTTCCTGTATCTATACCAAGTTGGAAGGGAAGCAGAGAAATGTAAGGAGGATGGTGGAACCAGATGAGAAAATAGTGGAAAATCCACTGTATCTTCATTATGCTGGACATTACAGAAAGAGTAATGGAGTTGATGTTCACAATTATGAGAAAAGAATCCCAAAGGTTCTTTTTAAAAAGGCAACTGGACTTTGTTTTTCCTTGAAGACGTTTCGCTTCTCATCCAAGGAGCTTCTTCAGTTCTGACTGAATGGTGGAGGATGGAAGGGTTTATATTCTTTGCAGTCAGATGACTGCAAGATGATTGACCTAATGACCAGATGAAAAAGCACATTTGGGACAACCATGACGTGGATGATTGAGAATCACCATAGAAATTATGAGAAAAGAGACAATTTAATGACAAGATTCTTAGATGGTCATGTAAACTGGTAGAATCTAATGGGCAGCCAGAGGTGAGTTGGGAAGGGGGCTTTCTGCTGTGGTTGGTCATCAGATCTCTTGTAAGAAGCCTTGGGAAAATCCAGTTGTTTCTTGAGAAATTAGTAAATTACTTGAAGTTCAGGTATGGCTTTTATCTATCAAAACTAAAATAGGTGACTTGAGAATAGAAGAATGAACTGATTTATAGCATACAAATTTGGCCATAGGCAAAAGATGAGACCAGTTTTCTTCTTGATAGTTTACATCAAGGGTCTCCAACCCTTTCTGGGTTGGCAGCTCAGTGGGAGAGGGAGGGGTAGGCACCTTACCTGCGCGTGTGCAAAGATGAATGTGATCACACATGCATGCGTGCACATAAACAGGCCGTGAGCATGTACACCACGAAAACGGGGCTGCAAGCATGCGTGCGAGGCTCTCAGCAACACCAGCGCCTGTATGAGGCTTGTGATACCACTGCCACCAGGCTTGCGATGATGCTACTACTGGTGCGAAGATCACGCTGCCGCCCCTGCATGAGGCTCATGCCGCAGACCGCAGCGATGCCACCACTGGCACAAGGATCGCACCATGGGCAACCTGCTGCTTATGGCACTTCCGCCATCCACACAAGGTTTGTGGCAACGCCTCCGCCTACACAATACTAGCAGCAACAGTGGCACGAGGGGTGTGAGCATGCACACACATGCATGTGCACTGCCTAGCAGCTACTTACATGGCCCAGTGGCCAAGAGGCCATAAGTTGGGGACCTCTGGTTTATATCATAATCACAATATTACTCAAAGATATCATTTGATTTCTCTATTCTTCCATTGCATTGGAAATGATGGGTGTCATGCCTCCAGCATAAAGTGTGTGTATGTAATTATATATTTTTATTGCTATTGTTGTTCTTTAATATAGCTTGAGCTCCACCTCATGACCAAATACAAATCTTTATTGAGACCCAGCCTTTAAGGGTCATCTTTCCAGCATTCCTCATTCCAAAAAACAAGTGCATCCTTGGGAGCCAGATTCCGTTTCCTTTAGCATTTGGAGGAAACAGTAACCCTTTTAGCTGTGTCATCTGTTTTATGGGGTGGATCCCATGATAACATAGTTTCCTCTGTCCATTGAGTCTGGAATCATTATTCCATCACACCCTACATCATGCATCCATTCTCCTCATAGCTCACTTCTATTACAAGTGTAATGTAGGAGTAGAAAAAAACAAAAGCAATAAACCATTGATAAGCTGTGGTTCTGTTTCTGTTTCTGAAATCTGGTATGATCTTTATGTCTCAGAAGTCTTTGAGAGTTTTGGTTTTCAGGAAAGGAGAGATCTTGATTACATTTTGCTTTCCACAATAACCATCACATTATTTCACATTTATGTAACATACAAAGATTATTTGAAATAAGTCAGTACCACTGCAGACCTATATGCCTTGATTTTCTTTGATCACCTCATGTCCATGAGCAACATGCATGGACTGAGCTCCCATTACCTGGTCCAGCTCCTGCCTACCTAGCAGTTTGAAAGCATGCAAATGCAAGTAGATTAATAGGTACCACTTTGGTGTGAAGATACTAGCGTACCATACACCTTTGGCATATAGCCATACTGGACACATGACTATGGAAATTGTCTTCAGACAGCACTGGCTCCCTTGGCCAAGAAACAGAGATGAACACCGCACCCTAGAGTCAGATACGACTGATAGGGAAATCTTTACCTTACAACAATGCAATAAATTTCAGTTCATGCAATAAATAATAAACCATTTGTGATAAATACTGCAGTGGTATTTTTTTACCTGTTATATTGCAGTACACCAAAAGTGGGGGAAGTGGGCCACTTGCATCAGAATCAATGTGGAAGAAACCAGATGTTTTCCCCTGGTGTCGATAGGTTTCACAGGACTGCTCATAAATAGCTGAAAGGAAAAGAAAAGTTTCTTAAGGTAGATTATCTGGCGGACAGTTACCTGCTATGAATGGTTAAGGTCCAGAAAATGACTTTATCCTAACTATTTCTTCCATATTACTGACATTAAGACAGTAAGTAGCACATGGTAAGTGCATTATGAGTGAGCAAAATAAACTGTCTTCTGATAGAGAGGTCACACAGTCAAAAAACAGTGTTATGTCAACTTAAAACACTCATACATTATGTTTTCTTTAAGCAGAAAACAAACTAATCTTTACAGACAACGTGGATGGGAATGAATCCTTATCTCATTCACATACATTTTTCCTCCAATATGGAGACTTTAGTTTAGTGTAGTCTTGATAGTGTTCGTGCAATTTTTTTTTTCTATAGGGATTATTTTTCTCTAGATACTTTGAAAGGTAATGGTTGGCTGGTAGTAAGAATACTACAGTAAGTCTGATGAAAGGCCTCAGCAATGAAGAGTTGAACAGAGCACATATACTATTTTAGCTAGATGGCTTTTGCTTTTATTTTTACGTACAATTTTTCAAACTGAAATTAGTCTCCAAATGGTCTTAAATGGGAATGGAATAACCAAATTATAATCTATTTAAGCAATTCAGTCCCAAAATGTTGCCCCCAATCAGATGAGATGGGAGCTGGAAGATTATAGCAAAGAGATTATTAGAACTGGTGTGTGTGTCGGGGTGGGTGGGTGGGGATGGAATAGGATCCTGAGGCACAAAAAGCATTCCTAAAGGAAAAGGAACTGAAATCAGTATTAGGAGTTCATTGGGAAGTAACATATCTAGGAATAGATGAAATCCCAATTTAGCAAACTAGAAAAGCCAACTGGGGAGCAAAAATGGAGGAACTTTTAGTGTAATAGTATAGCACGTAATGGTCATCTTGGAGATTTATGCTAGTATTCTTGTGAAGAATGTTTGTGAGAAGCAAATTCAAGAAGACTGAGTTAAAACAACTCAATCAACATTCAATATGTATGGGTGAACATAAGCAAGGTAAAGAACAAGGATTTAAAAAGAAAGAACTTGTATTAGAAAATCCCAGAGAGTTGAGGGAAAAATGTTCTGTACTGACACATTTTCAAGCAGCTTTCCTATCTATTATGTTTGTGATAAAAACCAACAACCAAGTATGCATAGATATTATTTATTTTGGTTGATTTTAATTTAATTCATTCAATTTAATATAGCTGCCCAATCCAGAAAATTCTGAGTTTTATTTGTTACCAGTACAGAATGCTTTTTATTCTATTTTTGATTCTCATATCATCATATAAGGTCCAAATACTTATTCTTTTTTTCTGAGATTTTAAATATAGAACTGGGATTCTTCACCCAGAAATAACAGTGATGAGATCCTCTGAGCAGCATCCATATACTTAGTAGAAATAATAAAAAAATAGGACCTTCCTCACCTATCATACTGCAGCAATCGGTATTGCTATTGTGTATGTTACATAAAATAGTACTGTACTTGAGGTTGAGGGAAAAAGGGATAATATACTGATATCAGTATATATAGAAAGATGGGTCATCAAGAGAAGCAAACACTGACAGTTTTGATGTTCTATTGCAACCTGAACAATGTATTCTTTAAATACACTTGGGCAGGGCTTTTTTTCTCATAGAATGCCCAGAATGGAGTTCTGGCACCTTTTTGGGATGGAACCTTGTAGGGTAGGCAAGGCAGGTTGTATGACATGTGTGAGTTCCGGCACCTTTTTTTTTTTTTTTAGAAAAAAAGCACTGGACTTGGGAATAATTTGTTCTCTTTGCCTCATATATTTAAAAGTGAATTGCAATGGCCTGCCAAAAGCAGCTGATGTGATAAGAACAGTTCTAAGATTATACAATGTTCTTTGCCTAAGTGATTCCTTAATTCTATGTGCTGCCACTTTTCTAGTTGTGAATTCCAACGTTTGCCTAGGTCCCAGATTTGATCTAACTTTTAAGTATGGAAAAATAGACTTTCACATGCTGGGGTGGAATATAAACTAAGTTTGAGGGGGATTTTCTAAATGAAAATAGAAAGAAGGAAGAAGAGACTGGTTTATTAGAATTATATGTAATTTTCTTCTGACAAACAACAACAAAATACAGCCATTTCTGGTTTCCTGTCTTAGTTTATGGGAGAATGAAATTCCCATTTTCCAACTCTTGCTCTGAAACCAGAAACCAAGTAAGATTGAACTATTTCTAAAATGACACATATTGGATTCAAGCTTTTCTGAAATTCAGTATTCAGAAAGAAAGTCACATGTATTCTGCATAATCAAAATATACACAACACACAGAAGCGCGCATACACACACTGCTTTTAGAAGAGAATATTTATTATTGAACAAAACATTTATTTTGGTTCACTAGTTATAACAGCTTGCTTTATGTTGTTGGTTTTGCTTTAGTTTGCTTTGCTTTGTTTTTCTTTAGCTGTTGAAATGCCTACATAGTTACATGAAAGTTAATTGATGGGATGTTTTTTTGTCTCCATAGGAGGCAAGAATATTTTGAAAATATTTTGCAAGTCTTCAAGAAAGCATCAAAATTTGTTCCTTGTAATAAATGAGTAAATGTTACTGGCACTAGAGATAAAATATAAAAATGAGACAAAAATAGGAATCATTATTATCCAATGTAAAAGCTTTATTTGTGTTGCTCTGAAATCATTGAAAAGCAGGACCACCAAGTGTGTGAGACAACTTTTAACATTTTTTTAATTTTTAATTTTATTTAATGTTACTTTTCTTTAATAGCTCACTGAAATGAATGGTTATTGTTTTCATATCTGTGGATAAACCTAAATAATACAACCAACTTAATAAAGATTGGTAATAAACAGGTCTTGTTTTTCACAAAACAATTATTGTAACAATTTTAGTACTTTCCTATATATTGATATTTTGATTTTGGTCTAAGAAAGAAATTGTTTCTTATTTCTTCCAATAGTTTAGCCAGCATGTGTATCTGCTGGTAAAACGTGACTCTCAAGTATTATATGGATCACTTTTCTTTAAACCTTTCTGAGGGCAAACATTTGAATTATTAGATGACAATTCATCCTGGGTGATTGCCTTATATGTACTGCTATACTATTTATTCTATAAATAGTAAAAAGTAATAAAAAAAATTCTCCAAGTACTATTTATTTATTTATTACAAACCATCCTGAGGTACCCCTGAGATACACTGAAAATATATTCTGCAAGTCAGAAATTTAAAGACACTTAATGATATTAAAGATAGGCAGTTAAACATAGGCCTCTGAAAAGTGAGTTATATTTGTTTTAATTACCGTAAGCAATTTGTCTTGTGGAGACAACACAATATGCTCCAATATAATACTCTGGACAGTCTCAAACCACTTTGGGCTAATGCTAGAGAAATCTCTTTTTTTTCTCCTCCAAATATTGGCTTGAGGTCTTTCATACTTTTGATGGCCCATACCACAAGCTGGGCCTACTCAGTCTGGAAGAGATTTAATGCATGAGGAAAGCAGTAATTCTTGTACATGGATTGCTAAAACTTTTGAAAGTGGTCCAAAGGAAATTCCAGACAATTAGTGTAAGTATATACACCATGTTTGATGTAGTCACCAAATCTGGAAATTCTTTAGTGCATGTCAAAGATGCTCCATAATATAGAAGTATATGGGTCACCACTACATGAGGAGATATCTCTCAGCCTGTTCCCATAGCACAAGCTCTATGGGAGAAGGTTAAGAGAGCTCTGAAGCAGGTTGTGGCAAAATACCACATTCCTTTCAATCTTACAAGTGAGGAGAACACTGTAGTTTTGAAGATGTGCATCATTGCTTCCTTTGAGACTTTGCATGTTACAGAAACTCCACAGAGATCATAATATTTCATACATTATGCTTAGGACACAGGGAATTTCCTGAGTCTTATCTCTGATCCAACTATTTCACAATATGAATATGTAGTCTCCTGGCAATGATCTCCAAGAGTTCAGCCAACAGCATTCCCCAACATTGGGGGGACTTACTTGGACTTCAGTAAGGCATTTGATAAAGTAGATCACAACCTACTACTTGACAAGATAGAAAAATGTGGGGTAGACAGAACCACCACCAGATGGATCCGTAGCTGGCTGACCGGCCGTACTCAGCGAGTGGTCCTCAATGGAACTGCATCTATATGGAGGGAAGTGTGTAGTGGGGTGCCCCAGGGCTCTGTTCTGGGCCCAGTACTCTTCAACATCTTCATCAACGATTTGGATGAAGGGATAGATGGGGAACTCATCAAATTTGCAGATGACACCAAGCTGGCAGGAATAGCCAACACTCCAGAAGACAGGCTTCAGATACAGAAGGATCTGGACAGACTTGAACACTGGGCACTAACTAACAAAATGAAATTCAATGGTGAAAAAAGCAAGGTTCTACATTTAGGCAAGAAAAACCAAATGCACAAGTACAGCATAGGTGGCACCATGCTCAATAGTAGTAACTGTGAGAGGGACCTCGGAGTCCTAGTAGACAATCACTTAAATATGAGCCAGCAGTGTGCTGCAGCTGCCAAAAAGGCCAACACAGTGCTAGGCTGCATTAACAGAGGGATAGAATCAAGATCACGTGAAGTATTAATACCACTCTTCAATGCCTTGGTAAGGCCACACTTGGAATACTGCATCCAGTTTTGGTCACCACGATGTAAAAAAGATGTTGAGACTCTAGAAAGAGTACAGAGAAGAGCAACAAAGATGATTAGGGGACTGGAGGCTAAAACATATAAGGAACGGTTGCGAGAATTGGGTATGTCTAGTTTAACGAAGAGAAGGACAAGGGGGGACATGATAGCAGTATTCCAATATCTCAGGGGCTGCCATAAAGAAGAGGGAATTAAGCTATTTTCCAAAGCACCTGAAGGCAGGACAAGAAGCAACGGGTGGAAACTAATCAAGGAGAGAAGCAACCTAGAACTAAGGAGAAACTTCCTGACAGTGAGAACAATTAATCAGT